CAAACCTTTTTCCCTTCCTCGCGGCGATATCGCGCTTGTGTGTCGTTATATTCATACGTATAAGTCCGATAAAAGGGGGAAAAAGGGAGAACTAAAGGGTAGCCCCGTAGGTTGAAACGTAGACACGCGCGGGCACCGAGATTTTCACAAGCATCGACTCTCAAGCGAAAGAGCGAAATCAATTTAAGAGAGGGAGAGAGGGAGAGGGAGAGAGAGAGAGAGAGAGAGAGAGAGAGAGAGAGAGAGAATATATCTCTACCTTCTAATTTGTGTACTTCTTGATGAGAGGAGATGGAAGAGAGAGCTAAGCTGGATTAACTCGAGAGTAAGCATATTTCGCGCAAAATATAAAAGAAAGAAAAAGGAGCGTTGAGTTTTCCCGTAGAGGTAAAATACGAAAAAGTATAGGAGAAGGAAAAAAACGTATAAAATCGTCATCTACTAAAGAATATATCTTACAGAATTTATTTATAAGTTATTGTAAGAACAAATCACCCATCGTGGAGTACAGGTTTTATTCCAAGCTATACGTCGAATCGATCAAAAAAGAAATTTCAATATTTTTTCGTCGGCGCGGCGCGCCATCGTCGTGATGCCGCGCGTGTTTACTCGCATGCATACGCGCGAAGTAGATACCAGACAGATAAAGAGCGCACCGGAATCGCACGCGCGTACCGGCGTGCACCCGAATGGAGAAGCGGTAGAGAAAGCCGAGAAAAGGGAAGGGCTTTACCCACCCACACGCACGCTGCGTACGGGGCCCCTACACTCGGGGCTTCCGTATCCATCTCATACGCGCCATTGACCTCGAATGCGACGTCCGATAGAGCTTCCCTGAACCTCCTCAAAAATCAAGTTATCTCTATTCTCCCGTGTATCGTGGCGTATTTGGAATAAAACGTGCCGTGCCGCGCGATATACCAGGCGAGCGTCTTGCGCCTAGCGCGCGCGTATCCTTCGAAACATAAAAATCTACTGCTCGAATTATCAAAAATGGAAATATCTATCGTCGAAAATGACTAATCGTGAATTTGTGATTTGAATATACGAATTGTTGATCGCGTTAAGCGAAATTAATATTAATAAATTAACATCCTACCAAAACTCTTTTTTAAAAAAAGAAAAAGATTACGCCAAGTATATAAAAAAGTATCGTATGTTACATCCTTCCTAAACCAAAAATATTATTTTAACAAATAAAAGTTATCCAAAAACAAATATGAGATCATACAAGTTGCCAAGTATTTGATTAGACATAGAAACAAAAATTTCTTTTTAAAAACCGTTTAACCATTCAAAAGTACATGCAGCAAAAGTTTAATGCCAGTCTTTCCAAATATTTTTAAGTTTCATAAAACATGCTTAAAGTGACTAAAATGACCAATGGGATCACAGTGAAGCAAAAACTTGGCGTGCCCGCATTTTATATATATCTTATCAATTAAATATTAATA